TCAAGTTTCCTACCAGTTTTGTGAGACAGAGTCTCACTCTGTCACCCAAGCTAGAGGGCAGTGGCACACTCTCGGCCACCGCAGTCTCGACCTGCTGGGCGCAAGCAATCCTTCCACCTCAGCCTTCTAAGTAGCTGAAACTACAGGCATGCACCACCATGCCCAGTTAATTTTTTATTTATTTTAGAGACGAGGTCTCACCAAGTTGCCCAGGTTAGTTTCGAACCCACAGGCTCAGGCAATCCTCTCACCTTGGCCTCCCAAAGTGCTGGGGTTATAGGCGTGCGCCACTGTGCCTGGCTCCCATTAGTTTTATATTGTTCTCATTTTTCTAAACTTCATAATAGAAATATTCAAAATTAAAAGAAGTCTTATTATGTACACACACGAACTATATTATATAATTTACGTGTGGCCCAAGACAATTCCTCTGTACTTGATGTGGCCCAGGGAGGCCCAAGGTTGGCCTCAGCATGGTGCACATTCTGTATAAACCATGTTTGCAAGGAATATACACAAAATCCTAACAGCCGAACATGAATTCCATTTTTCTCTCTTTTTCAAACTTTCCAAAACACTACTGAAATGATTTTAATATGTTTAATTTTCTTTTCCAAAAAGCAAAAACAACATGGGAACTTACTGTAAAGCAAAAGCAACTATGCACATTCCCCATAATTCTGACCCAGTTTACTCACCAGAGAGATTCCCGGAAGAAAGAGGGTGGGAAAGCAAAACTCAAGTCCCTGATTTTAACCAGGTTCACCTCCTGCCCATTTGGAAATGAAAAAGGCAAACAACAGAGATGAGCATGATATTACCCCTATGTGCAAAATACGAACAAAACCATTACTTGGCTCGAGTCTGGACAACAGCTGTCGTCTGTGGGTGGCAACGGGGGTCAACAAAAAACTTCCTCCTCTTGTTATGTCTGTTGAAAAGAAAAGCACATTCAGAAATGAACATTAAAGAAATCAAACAGTCTTCTAAAATGCAAAGCAGACATTGTTCTTAGGGCAAGTCTGAGTACAGTATAAAAAATACTGAGTCATTAATAACTAATGACATTTACTGATTAGAATTCCACCTAAATCCAACCTCATTTAGTAGAATCAGTCTTAAAATGCTTCAAAGTTTAAAAAAAATGCCACGAGGGAAAAAAAGGCAAGCAAAGGCAGTGATTAGACTCAAGTTAAAATTTAAAAGTCAACTCTTCTAAATAAAAATGCCTCATGATTTTACTGCCAAACAAACATTTAGAAATTATCTAAACCAAGTATCCTCACTCAACACAAGCGGGAAGGAGCTTAGACAGGCTGTGACATGTGCAGGGCCACAGAGCTAGGACAGAGCTGAGAGGACCGTAGGACTCAAACCCTGGGAGCTTTCCACCAGCCTATGGTTTCCCAAAACAACTGAAGGGGACCAGACGCAGTGGCTCAAGCCTGTAATCCCAGCACTTTGGGAGGTGGAGGTGAGAGGATTGCCTGAGCCCAGAGGTTCGAGACCAGGCTGTGCAACTTAGCGAGACCTTGTCTCTACAAGAAATCAAAAAAGTCGGGCTCAGTGGCTCAGCCTGTAAACCCATGCCTTTGGGAGGCTGAGGTGAGTGGATTGCCTGAGCCCGCGGGTTCAAGACCCGCCTGGGCAACTTGGCGAGACCTCATCTCTACAGTAAATAAAAAATTAGCTCCGTGTGGTAACGCGTGTCTGTAGCTCCAGCCACTTGGAAGGCTGAGGCGGAAGGACCACCGGAGCCTAGCAGGTCGAGGCTGCGGTGGCTGGGAGCGGCCACTGCACTCCAGTCTGAGCGACAGAGCAAGACTCCAACTCAAAAAAAAATTTAAAAAAATTAGCTGGGCATGGTAGCACCCACCTGTGGTTCCAACTACTTAGAAGACTGAGACAGAAGGATGACCTGAGCCCAGCAGGTCGAGGCTGCAGTGGCCATGAGCTTGCCATTGTACGCCAGCCTGGGAGGCAGAGTGAGACTCCAACTCAAAAACAAAAACAAAACAAAACAAAAAAACTGAAGGGGGATGCTTAACAGTTCCTATCTCAGGATCACATCGGGATAAAAGAAAGTGGCAGGTGGAATACAGTTAAACGGTGGGAGATGGCATTTCTTCGCTGCTGTCTGTCTTTGACAGGAGGAAGAACTTGAACCCATGCCCCAAGGCTGCTCAGGAAGAGAAGGGCCTGGGGTCGAAGTGTACCCATAAGTGTACCCATACCCACTAAATGAGTCTGGGGCTCATCCTGCCCAAGTTTCTGGAAGCCAGGAAAGAGGCTTACTTAGGCATTCAGGGCCAGGGGCACAAAACCTCAGATACACCATGAATGCGGGCAGATTTCTCAAACAGATGACCATCTGCATGAGAAGTCTACCAGGAAGGTCTGTTACAAAGTACTCAAAACACAAAGACCAGGGAAGGGGAGGAAATGGAGAACAATTGTGAACCGTGTGAACCGTGCACCAGCCGACCCAGGAACTCTACTTCTAGAAATGGATCCTCAGGAAATAATCAGAAGTTTTGACAAAGATTCATTATAAGGATGTGCAAGAAGTATTATTAGTAACAGTAAAAGGTAGGAACAAACTAAATTTGTAACGACAGAGGTGAGACTAAATAAATTATAGTACTACCACGCAAGTGAGTGCTACCATGGAGATAACAAAGAGTCATATTCTAGAAAACTGACTGAAAAAACAGAAAAATGCAGCTGGGAATGGTAGCTCACGCTTGCAATCCCAGCACTTTGGGAGGCCAAAGTAGAAGGATTGCTTGAGTCCAGGAGTTCAAGACCAGCCCGGGCAACTTAGGGAGTCCCCCATCTTTACAAAAAAAACCAAAAAAACAAAAAATTATCTTGATGCAATGGTGCACACCTATAGTCCCTACTCGGGAGGCTGACATGGAAGGATCACCTGAGTCCCAGAGGTCGAGAATGGACTGAGCTGAGATCATGCCGCTGTACTCTAATCAGGACAGACTGAGCCCCCAGGGAGGGAGGGAGGGAGGGAGGGAGGGAGGGAAGGAAGGAAGGAAGGAAGGAAGGTTCACAATATATTGTATAACAGAAAAATACTTGAAATATAAAATATAATCTAAGAACAAATTATTTATAAAAGAGGGTGAAATATATTTTCATGTTACACTGCAGATTACCAGTTCCTACCCAATATACATTCTTCCCTTTATTCCCTGGAAAAAGACAAAGCAAACACACACACACATACAAACATAGAAGACAGCAATATGCCCATCTAAAAAAATTATCTCTCCAGGTTACCTACAAGAAGGGGTGGCCCATGAAATGTACATGAATGTTGCTGAGTGGGTGGGGGCTTCACAAACCCTCTTTAGAGGGGGCTTATTTAGCTAGAAGTCTCCTTACCCTTCCCATTTCTTCTGGGGTCATCTTCTGACCATGAGAATTAAAGCCTCACTAAAGACAGGAGAAGCATGGATCCTTGAAAAACTCTTGGGGTTACCATAACGTCCCTGAAGCTAACATTACCTCTGGACTTAACATTATAATGTTCTTTTATATAATATTTAACAGTGCCTTTTTAAAAACCACTACTGCCAAGCTCGGTGGCTCAAGCCTATAATCTCAGCAATTTGGGGGACAGAGGTGAGAGGATTGCCAGAGCCCAGGGGTTCAAGACTAGCCTGGGTAACTTGGCGAGGCCCCACCTGTACAATAAATTTTAAAAGTAGCCAGGTGTGGTGGCGCAGGCCTGTAGTTCCAGCTACTTGGGAGGAGGAAGGATCACCTGAGCCCAGCAGGTCAAGGCTGCAGTAGCCATGAGCGTGCTACTGCACTCCAGCCTGCACAGCAGAGTGAGACTCCAACCCCAAAAATAAAGTAGCAGGAGGAAGACCGGGCATGATGGCTCATGCCTATAATCCCAGCAATTTGGGAGGTGGAGGCAAGAGGACAGCCTGAGCCCAGGGCTTCAAGGCCAGACCGGAAAACTTGGTGAGACCTCACCTCTACAATGAATCACACAATTAGCCAAGCGTGGTGGCACATGCCTATATTTCCAGCTACTTGGAAGGCCGAGGCGGAAGGATTGCCTGAGCCCAGTAGGTCGAGGCTGCGGTGGCTGTGAGCGTGCCACTGCACTCCAGCCTGGGCGACAGAGTGAGACTCCGACTCAAAAAAAACCAAAAAACCAAAATACCCAAACCACTAATCACTATTATTTCCGATCTTTCTGTTAACTCCGCTAACTGATGCACGAGTACTCACAGAACGTCTCTCACACGTACAGAGGTGTGTGTGTGTGTGTGTGTGTGTGTCACAAGTCACTGGGTGCCTTCACAGCTGGAGAGTTTGGGGGAACCCCTCACCTGTAGCACAGCTGCATTGCCTCTGCGGCCGCGGTCGCCTCATCCAGCAGGGAGGCGTTGGCCATGTCCATGCCTGTGATGTCGCACACCATGGTCTGGTAGTTGAGTAAACTCTCCAGCCTCCCCTGAGACACCTCGGGCTGGTAAGGAGTATACTGGGTGATCCTGTGGGAAAGAAAAGGCTCTGTCCAAACTGAGAGCTTCAGAGGCACTCGCGAAAGCTCTGGCTTTAGAATTCAGTACCGGAGAACGAAGCTTGCCTCTCTTGAAGAAAACTGCGTAACACATCAGAGTGAGCTTCTGTTGTGGCCTTGGCAAGGAAGCTCAGAACTAGATCATGTAGCAAGACCATCCTTTGTTTGGGCATAATCAGTACTTATTTTTCTCTCCCTCTGTTACTTTTTAATCCTACATTGCTATTTTAACCATCTTATCTTAATTATTAATATTAGTAATTAATTAATTAATCATTAATACATGTATAGTAACAAAATACATATGTATTCTATTGTAAAGTGACTCTTAAAATCCACTGGAAGGACCGGGCGTGGTGACTCAAGCCTGTAATCCCAGCACTTTGGGAGGCAGAGGCGAGAGGATTACCTGAGCTCAGGGATTTGAGACCAGCCTGAGCAACAAGGCGAGACCTTATCTCTACAATTAGAAAAAAAAAAAATCAGCCAGGCATGGCAGCACATGCCTGTCATTCCAGGTACTTGGAAGGCTGAGGCAGAAAGATCACCTGAGCCTAGCAGGTCGAGGCTGCGGTAGCCAGGAACATGCCACTGCACTCCAGCCTGGCGATAGAGTGAGACTCCCAACACACCAAAAAAAAAAAAAATGCCAGGCACAGTGGCTCCAGCCTGTAATCCCAGCACTTTGGGAGGCCGAGGCAAGAAGACTGCGGGAGCAACATGGTGAGACCTCGTCTCTACAATAAATTAAAAAATTAGCCAAGCGTGGTGGCACAAACCTGTGGTTCCAGCTACGTGGAGGGCTGAGGCAGAAGGATCACCTGAGCCCAGGAGGTCGAGGCTGTGACCCTGCCACTGCACTTCAGCCTGGGCAACAGTGAAACTCTGACTCAAAAATAAAAATAAGAATTCCCAGTTTCCAGCTGAGAATCTATGGCAGTTGACCCCTAAGGCTGTTGAAATTCCAGGACACAAATAACGAGAAGGCAGCACAGAAATGGGCTCCAATGGCATGGCCCCTGGTCAGCAGCCAAGAATGTGGCTGTGGGTACGTGAGTGAGCCAGGTTAGGTCCTCTGCCCTTCCCGTTCCTTTTGTCATTCATGCACTCACTCTACAATCATTTACTGCCTAGCAAGTACCAAGAACTATTACAGCTCATAAACAAGATGGATAGCAGTCACCAATCTCAAGGAGACTACATTCTCATGAGGAAAAAGAGAAAATAAATGAAATCATTCCAGAGTGATACATTTTTTTAAAAAGATGAAGCGAAGGCTAGGCATAGCGGCTCACACCTGTAATAACAGCACTGCGTGAGGCCGAGGCCAGAGGACACTTGAGCCCAGGAGCTCAAGGCGTCAGCCTTAGCAACACGGCAAGACTCTGTCTGCAGAAAACAAAACAATGAGCTGGGTGTGGTGGCGCACGCCTCTCCTACCAGCGACTCTGGAGGCTGATGCAGGAGGACAGCTTGAGCCCAGGAGCTTGAGGCTGAAGAGTCGTGATCGTGCCACTGCCCTCCAGCCTGGGCGGCAGAGTGAGATCCTGACTCAACAAATAAACAAAAATAACGTAAGGTGTAAGATAGAGGGTGCCAGGCATGGAGGCTCATGCCTATAATCCCAACACTTTGGGAGGCTGAGGTGAGAGGATTGCCTGAGCCCGTGGGTTCGAGACCAGCCTGGGCAACTTGATGAGCCTTCATCTCTACAGTCAATCAAAAAATCAGTCAGGTGTGGTGGCACATGTCTGTAGTTCCAGCTACTTGGAAGGCTGAGGCAGAAGGATCGCCTGAGCCCAGCAGGTTGAGGCTGCAGTGGCCATGAGCGTGCCACTGCACTCCAGCTTGGACAACAGAATAAGACTCCAACTCAAAAAAAAAGAGGGCGACTGAGGGCTTCTAATGGAGCTGCTGCCTTTTCATCCAAAATACCATTCTTTTTTTTTTTTGAGTCGGAGTCTCACTC